TMKTTYRKTTTATAGGAAAGAAAGTTCCCAACACAGCCAATAAGCGCTAGGTCATTACYGGATTTCAAAACGCGGGGGGCTGGGTAAATGCTCCTAATGACAATAAGTAGCGACGCCATTTTATACAGCATAGCATGATTCTAGTTGTAGTCCTCGTACTTTTTTATATCCGCTAAAACAGTCCTTCTGAAATGTTTTTTGCTTTTTTCAAGACAAAATAGATTGTTTTGCCGTTTCTTATAAAAGAAACCGTAAAAAGACATAATGTAGGGTCTGAAATAAGTTCGAGGACTACAACTACCATCATGCTTTGCTGCACAAAATGGCGTCGCTACGCATTGGATAACACATTGGATAACACTTACATAGAAAGRAAGTAATTGTTGAAAACTGATGTATTTTGATGGGGTTTGATCTATTTTTTGACATTTTGGTAATGATTCAAGCCAGAGACATTGTTTTGATATTCAGTTATAAAATACATTTAATAAATCCTTGAATTAGTTAGAAATTGCATGCAAAATTAAACAAATTAAATGTAAGCAATAGAAGACACAGGACTTTACACTTCTTTGCCTTATTTTTTTGTGAACCATTTCATTATACAATCAATCTATTAAAAGCCCAGTGTGCACCATTATACTTTGTGGGCCGCGAGGGCTGGGAGGCGGCCATTTTCAGTTTACCGAAAGTCTATAAAATGCACTGTGTGTCTTTTCTAAGCACTTTAAACGCTGATATAAGAGTTTTCAACCATCTGAAATTCGTTTTAAGGTGATATTTGGATACTAAATAAAAAAATCATAACAACAGAGGCGCGTAAAGCAAGATGGTGCAAACTGGGCCTTTAATGTTGTTCACTTGTAAAGATATAAAGGTAACAACAAGGGGATTTACTGGATTTTGAAAGCACGGCACTTCATAATATCGTTGATAATTCGTTTGTATAAGATAGAATACTTGTCTTAAAAGTAAAATAATATTAAATCTATTTTTCCATCATTCGATGATCCCTAAAAACCCGTTTACACGTGAGATTTTTGCAGCGCGATAATCGCCGCTTTGCTATCGCGCAACTAAAATCGTACGTGTAAACAGCCGTGCGATTGTTGCGACGATGGAAAAATCGCCGCTAAGTTGCAGCCAATTTCAAACATGTTCGAAACTCAGGCGATGGCCGCGCGACGATCGCCTCGAGAATCGCTCTGCAAAAATCGCAAGTGTAAACGGACCTTAAAATCAAGTGTAAGCGCGCGCGAAACAAACGGATCGCAGCGMCGATGACTTTGAAACGCAATGACAGCTGATCGCAGCGATCAATTAAAATGCGATCAGAGCGGAACTCGAAACTGAGCGAGTTGTATGGGCATGATGCCATTCTGAGACTCTCGTGACTATTTTGTTTTTACATGTCTAGCAGACACCATTTTTCCTGTCTCGTTATGGGTGCAGACCTGCACGGCCCTGCATGAGGAACGTGGAGTCTCGAGAATTTATTCACTACAATTTGCTATGATGGAGTGATATTATTCTTTTCGTTTTTTTTTCTTGCCTTTTCAGTGCCAGATCAATTAAAGTGATGTTGAACCTCTAAAAGGGGCTGGTTAGACAGATCTACCCTCCCACCTCCCCAAACAACTCGGACAACCATACAGTTCATCCGCCGGGAAAACATTTTAAGATTAATATCGTCGATTCCTTTATATTATCACTAAGACTGTGAAATCTAGTACCGTTTAATTCTCCAATCCAACATTCTTTTGTGAATTCTTGTGTTAAACAATGAAAATTAGTTTTGCGTCATCGAAGGCTTCCGGTGATTGACATGCTTTCATTTCTGACGCATGAATAAACACGTTTTGCTGAATGTACATCGCTGCAGTTTATTTCCCCTTTCGAAACTGTGTTCATCAAAGAAMTTATCGCTTTTACGGTAAGAGTTACTATAGTTGCCTAAAGTCACAATACTTTTCACTTAAACTTCTGTGCAGTACTTTTAACAAGAGTCTTGCAAGAGTTAGTAAAGCTCAATTTGAAGGCGCACAAAAGCTTACAAATTTGATAGCCATTCGATTCAAGAAGAAACTAAGTGGTAAGTTYTCCTCTGTTATAATTGCATGTAAAGTTATAGCAATATAGTCAGTCCAGGAACATGGGCCTGTTAAATAGCCATGATATCATTTAGACAACTTTACTCATACCGAGTGAAATARCTTGGCCGGCAAACGACTGTAGCACAAGAAATTGCATGAGTCATCTTATCTGGATTAGGAACCCTGTTGATGAGTCAAAAAAGATTTACAGAAAAAAACTATCTGTAAAGGATATAAGGAAGAGTTCAGGATTTCGACCTCAAGTCAAAGGATCTGACTTTGTATATTGGACCATGTCACGCTTCACGATTCYATAACATTTTAATTTTAAATGTTTTCATACTTAATCCAAGTGAAGCTTGTGGTATTGCAGCTATCACTGCAGTCAGAAATCACAATATTCATGGCTCGTCAGTGGTCTTAAAAGTCAGAAATGTAAGMATGGCGTTCTGTATCACTTTGTTTCTTTCGGGGGGTAGGGGTAATTTGGTTATTGTCGAAACGCGACATGCAGTGACTATTTGCGGAGATCATCAGAAGACTTTTTTGTCTTTTTTAAATTTATACGTAGTTTGTTTAATCAACCATGTATAATTTTAAACTTCTTTCCAAGCTTTCGACATAAGCGGTCATCTTCAGGATCGAAAGCTTGGAAAGAAGTTTAAAATTATTCATGGTTGATTAAACAAACTACGTATTAAATATGCCAAAAATACAACCAACAAAAATCTTTTAAAACTTTTTTAAATGTTTGAATAAGTTTAGTATTTTATTTAAAAGGTTCAAAATGGCGAAACTGGATMTCAAATTAGTGATGGTAATCCTTGCCTTGTTTCTTTTGGTGATGCTACTTAATGACGCCGACGCAGCTTATAGCCGACGACGAAGCTACTCGACCCGGMGACGATCGTACTCGACCCGGAGACGTTCGTACTCGACCCGGCGAAGATCGTATAGTAGCCGAAGGCGAACATCATACAATTCGTCCAGATCGACGACATCGTCGGGTTCTTCTGGACTTGTGATAGGACTTTCCATATTTGGCGCAATAGTTGGTCTCGCTATAATCGGGTTTTTGATTGGTTACTGCTGCTGTAGGAATAGTCGAACTAACACAACCGGAAGTGTTATCTCAACTCAGCCGGAAGTTCGATTTCAGCCCGAGAACCAGRCCGGAAGAGGAGACAGTCTTCCACCGTACGCTGCGTTCTCCAACGATACTGATCCTTATCCGACGAAAAAAGACATGTAYCCACCCCCAGGGGAAACTGTTTCCCTGGCCTATCCACCACCTGGTGGTCCCCCAGGGGATGTAGCTTACCCACCAGCGTATCCCATTAGTGATGGGGCGATGGGAGGTCCACCCATGTACACAGCCCCTGTGGATAGTGCGGCAGCTTATCCTCCACCACAGGTAACCCAACAAACACAAGATCCAGCACCACCACAGGGACCCCAACCCACACAGGGCTGGCAACAGGTGACACCTTTGCCCGAGCAGGTGCCGTTAAGTGGGCAAGCAAGTACTCCAGACCTACCCCCACCGGCATATGTYGATGCATTAAAGGACAACCAAGGTGGTACACAGTGACACTAAACAGTAACCATGGAAACAATATCAAATTTTAACTTTTTTAGACTGTGTGATGTCCACAATTGGAAAGCGTGACACCCACACGTACGTCTTTCTGCATTTCAGTTGTCAAAAARTATATGTGTGCATCAATCAATATTGCAACCCCCCCGGATCGGGCCAAGAAATTAATACATTACAGGCGGGGATTTTACACTATTTTAACAGCAGCAGTCAACGGGAAAGCTTGGGATAAATGATTTGTTTAGTCGACTCTTTTCGGTCTCTAAGAGCTGAAAAATGAGAAATATATGTAATCCAAGACCGAAATGTATTGTTGGTCGTTGTATCGCCGTTGAAAAGGAGTTTTCGTGGTGTCATAATGACTATACCAGCTAGCTCCGTTCACTCAAGAACTTAAATTGCAAAGCAAATTAAGTTTAGATTTTTTTGATTTTATAACGCCTAACGTGGAGTTTAACAAAACATGGTCCACCAGCATTCAATGCGGTCGTGTATTAGATTTTTCATTTTATATTTGCAAAATGAGGTGACTTCGAATTCAATATCTATTCGCAAACCGCTTCCATCTGTCGGTTTAAAGATCGAAGCTTACAACATCTCCATTCATATAGTATAAAGGGATAATATAGAGTAACTTTCTACTTATATTACGATGTATTTTTATTTTCAAACACGAGCAAAAGCTCGAAATGGATGCTGGTAGACCATGTTCCTTTAATAGCAACAATGCATTGCGGCCTTGGAATGCACTATGATTTTCTGTAAGTTTTCATTACGTAATAGAAGGCTTTTTTTWATTGACGTGGTTTTATAAATCTCATGCAAGAATAAGCACTGACATTTTGCATATATCAGACTGTCACATTGAATGTGTATTAGTATTAAAAGAGGTTTATTTTCCCTTTCGAAGCCTTATTCATCGAAGAAAATCATTAATAATTGCAGTAATTTAGAGTGCAGAACTTTGAAATCCCTTAAACCTTCCGAATTAGCAGCATTCTTCAACAAAAGGCCTTGTCGTCGAACATTGAATAGAGCTGTAGTCACTTGCGACATCAGGGTAACAAAACAACGGTAAGTCATTGTCWATACAGAAATATACTAGGAAATTGCCTGAATTGGGTTTGAAATTGTAGGACAGTTACTAGTGATATTAAATACTCAATCATCTTTTGACAACTCGTGAAAATCTTTGCAAGCAAACAAAATTGACACGGCTGCTGCGTCTTCAGAGTCCCRTTTTGCATTGTCATCATGCCTGAATTATGAGTCCTAACGCAGATTTAATTTGTGAAAATATATAACGCCTTTCGCTTATTAATAGCAAAAGGAGTCTATGGTATATGCTGTAGTAAGGAAGTTATTGTATATTTTGACCTGGAGGTTGCTATTAAATCTGAGTTTGTCAGTTATGAAAATTWTGTCACGCTTCACGATTCCAAATACTTAATAATCCAACGCAACTTATATTGTGGAATAAACTTTAACAAAACTCTCTAAGGACTGATGTAGTTACGTATTCTCCTGGCAGTCTACCACTCTAGCTTTTAATTTTTTGTGAACAGACTATCCACTGTCAGTACCCTTTGATCAGAGAGCTTGCAAGAGAGTTGAAGGAAGATAGAAATGCATCAGTTGTTTTGATCGATTATTTATTGTTTTTATTAGATTCGATTGCTTATAAACAATTCAAAATGGCAAAACTGGATYTGAAGCTCGTTATGGTCATTTTGGCCTTATTTCTGCTGGTGATGTTACTTGATGAGAGTGATGCTCAGGATACGTCACGACGACGACGAGCCGATTCTCGCCGACGATCGATTTCCMGCCGGCGAAGATCGTCGTCATCTCGTCGAAGATCGTCATCTCGCCGAAGATCGTCATCTCGTCGAAGAAGATCGTCATACAACTCGTCTAGGTCGACGTCGTCGTCATCTTCTGGAATGGTGATAGGCCTTTCCATATTTGGTGCAATAGTTGGTCTCGCTATAATCGGCTTTGTGATTGGTTACTGCTTCTGTAGGAAAAATCGACGCAACGCAACCGGAAGTGTTATTKCAACCCAGYCGAATGTTCGATATCAACCCGGTGACCAGACCGGAAGAGGAGACAGTCTTCCACCGTACACTGCGTTCTCTAACGAAGCTGATCCTTATCCGACGAAAAAAGACATGTACCCACCCCCTGGGGAAGCTGTTTCCCCGGCCTATCYACCACCTGGTGGTCCCCCAGGGGATGCGGCTTACCCACCAGCGTATCCCATTAGTGATGGGGCGATGGGAGGTCCACCCATGTACACAGCCCCTGTGGATAGTGCGGCAGCTTATCCTCCACCACAGGTAACCCAACAAACACAAGAGCCAGCACCACCACAGGGACCCCAACCCACACCGGGCTGGCAACAGGTGACACCTTTGCCTGAGCAGGCACCGTTAAGTGGGCAAGCAAGTACTCCAAACCAACCCCCTCCGGCATATGTCGATGCATTAAAGGACAACCAAGGTGGTACACAGTGACGCTAAACAGTAACCATGGAAACAATATCAGTATATAATTTTAATTTATATTTTACACCATTTAATGCTTACTTGCAAAATAGATATCGCACCAATATATCTTTCTACAATCAAAATGGATTAGACGCATAATTGGCRCATTTTTAAAAAAATCACCCGAAAAGAGGGAGAGCTAAACTGTGTGCTTCCAAATAAGGTAATATAAGAATGCCAAATATGGAAGGCAAAGTTTAGCACAAGAGTTAAGTTGTTTGATATACATTTAGTAACGTGAAAAATTGCTGTGTTTAGTTTATACGCTAGCTCGTGGCAACACAGTCAGCAAACCTCCAAATAAGGCAACAATTCTATGTAATTATACTTGATACTTAGAGTTGTCATAAAATATTGTGCATCGGTATATCGAATATAGAACAAATCGTATTAATACATTTAATTTGTACCAAAAATAGGATCATGGCACCCAAAGCYAAGAATACATTGTATGCTGTACAACTTTTGTCTACAACCGTCGCCGGCATACAACCTTTGCGAGTCATATACATACAACACGAATTGCATCGTGTAAAGCAAGCCTTCAACTTACTACAACTTTCTAAAGGTTGATTTGCACTGTACTTTGTCTACAACTGTTGTCGCATACAACCTCGGCGCATWTTACCGCATARAACACAAATTGCGCCGTGTCAACTCAAGTCTACAACTTACTGATTTACACTGTACAACTTTATCTGAAGCGGTTTAATACAACCTGTGCGCGTCATACATACAACACGAATTGCGTCGTGTAAATCAAGCCTACAACTCACTACAACTACCTATAAAGGTTGATTTACACTGTACAACTTCGCATACAACCTGTGCGCGACATACATACAACACGAATTGCGTCGTGTAAATCAAACCTACAACTCACTACAACTACCTTGATTTACACTGTACAACTTTTGTCTTTAACGGTCGCATGCAACCTTTGCGCGTCATACATACATCACGAATTGAATTGTGTACATCAGGCCAACAACTCATCTACTAAAACTATCTAAAGGTTGATTCTTTACACTGATGCACGNATAATTTTAGTTTTATAATCATTTTTAGTTTGGAAAAATGGCCTATGTTGACAGTTTATTTCTAACTTCGTTCGTGAAGTTATTAGATTACAAAGAGATTTGAACTGCACGAGCTCTTAGAGCCGTGAGAAATGTTTAATCAACACACATATCAAGACGAATGAAATTCAAGTTCTTTAAATACAATAGCAAAGTACATAAGCAACATGTAAGCAATGATCAATTTTGTGTTGTCATTTTGGCAAGTTTCCTTCCGTATCTTTCCTAAACTATTAAAAAAAGGCCGTTTTAGTTTATAAAGCTACTAGCCCCTCTGTGCATGTCAGATGTCTTGAGTCGTCAGTGAAAGTTTGAGCTGTAAAATACGATTGTATCTGAAGTACTTAAGGTAATGACCCATAACTAATTGAAACGATTTCAGAGCAAACTACAGCGTAGAAAGTAAAATTGTGACAAAAAATATTCATGTACACTTTTAACAAATTTTTCATCCTGATTYACCTTCAGTATCTTCGAAGTTGTTGCACTGTCTTCAGCCTTAAGAGCTATAGTTGGTTATCGTTTTGCAGAATAAAGAAATAGAATAGACAGCTATATCGTGACAGGTGATTCATCTTATGGAGYGATAAGATCTTAAAGTGCTATCCATTCGCTTAATGACGCTGGATATTAAGTGGCTATTTTTGGGGGATATGAAACTAATCCAAAACCACACGAATACAACTTGGAATTGRCTGATTTTTATATTAAAGCTTTTAAATATTAAAACTGTTAGTATCAGTAAAAAATGACGCTACTATTCGGAAAATATCAAKACTATAGTGGTAATTGATTTGAAAATTGGATTATACGGCGTGCGACCTCAGGGCCTCAGGGTATGCGCTMCTGCGCTAGAGCATCAAGACCTTTGATTCGCACGGATCTAAACCATTCAAAGTCTTATTGCAGATTGAAATTTTAATTTTATTCTATTAATGCTTATACTATCATTTTTTTGTTTTATTTTGATTGCTTAAAGTTTGACTAGTACATGGCGCTTAAAAATAACGAACGCAGAATTMTTTTCTGTTTGTTCATTTTTTTATATACCTCAATATGAATCCGGTGTCAGACATAGACAGCGTCTTCTCGTTTGAGTAAAACTTCTATAGGAAGTAAATAAATAGCAARCAAGGCAGTACGACTATATGAAGGGAACATTTTTCAGTTTAAGCTACACAAAAAAGTGTACATCTTTGATTTAAAGCTGTCAYTATAAGTGCAATCTCTTTTACAAGTCGCTGAGTGACGCTGACTCTGCAGAAACTTGTATAGAAAGCTACAGAACATACAAAACCAATACGAAAACCAATGCAAAAAAGATCTGTCATTGACTGATGGTACATCTAAAAGTAACTGACCAAGGGCACGAGTAAAATTTTAAGATAACAGAGAATCAAATATGATAAGACAAATATAACAAGACTTTTTATTACTTTATTACCTTAAATATACAATACATAAACCAGTTGCCATGTAATTATGGAGGATTTATGAGTAAAATTTTGTCCTTAAACTGAATTACTACAAACTAAAACAAAAACTACGAATATCCTTGTGAAACCACGAAATATGTTAATATCAAAAACAGTTTTGTGAACAATTTTGTGTTAGTGTATGGAAATCCCTCYATTTTTTGTGTTAAAAGACGTCCTCTGAAAAGTGAAGCATTTTTTWAAAAAATTATGTACTAATGTACTTTTTGAAGCTGAATATGATTCTTGTGTACAACTCAAAATTCAAAACGCGTCAYGATTATTTTTATAAAAAGCTAGGATCCATTACACTATATGTACAATGTGCTGAACACTGCAAATATCAGTAAATTTTGCAGTTTGAAGTCTATAAAAAGGCGAAAATATCACATTATATGAATGTAGCTACAATATACAACGTACGTAAGAGTGTCAAAAAATATATTCGTGCTGCATGTATTACATAGTTTTTCAAACTTAGATGATATAAAATATTGAACGTACTTACAAGAAATGACCTTCAAAACGTATGAAAGTATCTACATTATATTTACAATACTTATTTACAAAGCATAAAACTTTTTTTGTGTTATCAATGCTCGATTGTTCAATTTAGAATATTGCCAAAGGGACTTTTTGATCGGAATTAAAGTCACAATTATTTTCGTACGTACATGGTTTATCATAGTCGACGTGGTGGAGTCTTACAGTGCTATCCCAATCGCTGGCTAAGACGTCTGCGTCAGGTACATAAGCATCACTATTTGGATAGCAACTTYTGCTTATTTTCCTGCTGTCAAATTCTGTCATCCCTTGGCAACCTCTTCCATAGTCCACTTGTTTCATCTTCATAAAATCTTGAATTTGTCTCTTTTGCATGTCKAGGGGTTCGTTGTCGGGATGCGTCAAGGGAGAGAATGGTTGGAACTGCATAACAAGTTTAGGTGAAGGTGGCATAGTCTCTTGACAAGGCATATTTCTGTAGAAATTCCGTTGTGGAGGGAAGGTCTTGGCAGGTTCACACGCTCTAAACGACGCTTTGTTGTTYCTCCAAACCATTGAACATGGTGTCTGTGTGTTTACATTCGTTGTGTTCATTCTCAAAGCGCTCTCCGTCTCCTCTCGTAGCTTCTCYAGCAACGCAGTGAACGTTGGATCTATGATGCAAGGTGGAAGGTCGTTGTCTAACTTGGTCTTCTTGTTACGCCATAATGGCCGACCAGTTTCTTTATCAAATTCAACRACGTTGAACCAAAGACGCTTCCTCGAAGCCTGGCGTGTTTGTTTTCGTGGCATTCCGTTAAAGATGGACTGAATTCTTATCTATGTTGAAGAAGAATAACAGGTTAACATTCTAAGATAAAAAGCTATTAGATTAATGCTAAAATTATCAAAATATAGATTAATTAAAACTGCATGAACTTACCTTGAATTGTTTGAAGAAGACGTTGTCAACACTTTTAATGGCTCGGGAAAATATTTCTTTTATTCACTAGGAAAAAGATACAATTAACTGTTCAACTTTTTTCACAATTAAGAAACTTGTTATATAATTTCCTGGATATTTTTTGACTTACATTGTGGTTTCTCAAGATGACTAAACTAGTCAACAGTTTTTTTCTGATCAGGAACTGGAAGCAACTGCAATCACATGTGTATCCAACAACCTAAGTTACACATTCTCACCTCCAATAGACGGTTGACGGGTATTTATACTGTCGAAGACGTGCTTTTCAAAAACGGTTAAGTTTCCCATTTATGGAATAATGCAGCGAGAGTAAAAATATTCTGTACGGTTGAACTGAGCTCTAAGTGCTCTAGCTTTGCATRTGTTATAAACGATTAAGTTTTATTCGTTGATATTGGACTTCATCCTTCAATGTGGTTTCTGGAACAAAAGTGGGAGGTCAGGTCTTTTAGAAACTGTATGATTTATTCCTCCTGCAGAGATTATTAAAGTAATTATCAATTTAAGTCAAATTTTCTCAGTGTCTTTGCAGAATTAACACTAGGAAATTATCACGCGAACTTAGTTGAAAATGTTCAACTCAATTTTTTAAACGTCGTTTTCTTCTTTGGCGTTTTTGTCCCTCAGCTTCTTTATCTCTTGTGTGCAAGTTTTACGATAGATATTTTATCAATTTGGAGGAATTATTTTTGACCAACYTATGTAGCAACTTTAGTATACGTCTTCCTTAGAATGCACTACTATTTCTAACGAAACACTAATTTAAGTTGCGCAATACTGTTCAATTTCAGAGTACAGATCTGCTTCCCAACAGCCACTAAATAAAAATGGCGAAAKAATCAAAGAGTCAGCAAATCAATAAATTAGATTTTCCAGGTTTATTTAGTTAAAAATCTGTCTATATAAATTTGTCAGCCAATTATAAYTTAATATTGTAATTAGATATAAACGCTTCAGACTTAAAAAGCTGAAGTGTCTTCTTGAGATGTTCTTTTCTATTTTTAGCGTGACGATACATCTTCCGCTTCATTGACTCACCTCTCGTAAGCGCATTCTGGAACTTTCAGGTTGATTTTCAAAACGTAAAAAATCTCTAGAGTATTCTAGCATTTTGGGGGTAGATCTCTCCGAGAATTTTTAGAATTTTTTGCCTTTTTAAGAACTTTACTTGTGGGTTGCACTTTGCGACGTCTTAGACTACCTTATTCTCTGCATTTCAGTATGGACACGACTTTAGCATCGTCTTTGACGCGCATCCTTGTGTAAATGCTAGTAGTTTTATCAGTTTCGAATGGTAAAAGCTCTAGAGATATCGAAAATGTTAACTTTAAGCCTCCACGCTAGAATTGGAGTTGTTTTGTCTTCCAGATAAATTGGACTAGATGCAGAAATGAACTTATCCGGCTCTCATGAATATAAGTGAGGTAATGATAGCCACGTCAGTAAGGGGGGAAGGGGGGGGCAGTAAGTGACCAATAGCTTCCTTCACAKCTCCTCGMACCATCTTCAAAGGTGGCGATGTCTTTGCATCAAAGGGAGAACAGTTTGCATGCAATGATAGAAACCTTTTCTCACACAAAGGAAATTATTCACGACAGGTTTCTATCATTGCACGCTCAACGATTGTCTCATTTCGATGTAAAGGCCSGTTTACACTTGCGACTTTTGCAGCGCGATAATCGCCACTTTGCTATCGCGCAACTAAAATCGTACGTGTAAAAAGCTCTGCGATTGTTMCGATGGAAAAATCGCCGCAAAGTTGCAGCCAATTTTCAAGTATGTTCGAAACTCAGGCGCGATGGTCGCCGCGAGAATCACTCTGCAAAATCGCACTAAGTGTATAAACGGGCCTTAAAGGAACGGTTACCTATCAAGATGTCAGAGGGAATAGGAGAACCGTAAAGAAGACGATTTTACGTATAACAAACACAAGACAATAGACTTTCTTTTTTCAATATTTCATATATCCCATAATATGTCGTTTTATCGCCATCAAGCATTCTATGTATATACAATTCATGTGGTCGTTACACCAGACAAAGTACACCCCARTAATGTGTGGAAAGCATTTAGAATCATATCAATTGGCTGAAGCAGGCTTTTAACAAGGTAYACGGGACGAGGAATCAAATAAGGTCTACCATATTTTCAACTAACTGGTCAGGCGTTTTAGGAGTTTTTGTCATGTGATAGACCTAGTCGACTAACGCTTTGCTGTGTACGTTACCACCCAATTCAAATCCTCTGGGAAAAAGAAGTTTTGTTTCTAAGAATTCAACTGTGTAATGAAAATACATAGAACAATGAAACTTACTCCCGGGTGGTTTGAATTGGGTGGAAACTTTATAGCAACGCGTTAGCCAATTAGGTCTATTCTTTAGAAATCAGAATAAAAACTATTTTCAGGGATCATTTTAGGGATCAGCGAGAAGATTTTACAGCACTACAGATCGCTAGAACACCTATATACCTTGTTATCATCCWACTGATGAAGTCAGATAAAAGTCGATTGTATTCCAAACCTGCGATGGGAGGGGAGGGGTGGGGAATACTTTGTCTGATGGATTACAAAGATAAAACCGTCATTCCTTATAAGGAATAAAATTGCTTGAAAATTCTTGACATTGCAAGGCATGTCCCATTGTTTATCATTGCAAGTTCATAAAAGCATTTATTCATATCCTTATAAATATGTATGACTAGTAGTTCCCAGTTTCCTCTTCACCGTGATTACACAGGTATCCCGCAATATCATTCAACATATGTTCGGATTGATTGTCTAGATGTACTGTTTACACTGGAAAAAATCGCKCGCTTTAAAGGTTGTAAATTTTGATGTAAATATTATGTAAGTGTCCAAAATGATGTAAATTTGATGTAAATTTACATCAAATTTAAGCATTAAATTTACATCATTTTGGACACTTACATAATATTTACATCAAATTTACAACCTTTTAATTTAAAGTGAACGATTTTTTCCAGTGTTAAAGAAGTGAATATAACTTCTAACAGTCTAAGCCTCCTATAGAGGTGCTGCCATGGTTTGCAAAACACTTTATCCTAAGATTATGCAAACAGCGGCTGTGTTCAGTTKTGCATCAYTTGATGGAAGCCCCGGCCCTCGGACCTCGTCCCTCGGGGAATCTACGGTAAAATAGTAGCGGTTTAAAGCACGGGATATACATTCCTTCACACACTATTTCCGGGGATCGCAGGGCCAGACCGATGCATCAAGTTTTTTCAGCATTGTTAATTGTTCTTATGGGCTRGCCTCTGTGCCTGTCTGTCTGACATAATATCTTCGGAATAGTAAGGTGTACGATCAAAACATCAAATCCTATTTTTTTTTTGTGTACTAGTAAAAATACCGGCGTCGCAAAATCCATACATGTAATTGCCCTACTATAACGTCACATCAACACACTCTATTGTGCAGCGCTAAGGAGGACAGAAAGCTCGGCATAGACAAAATAAGACGGAACAAAACTGTATTCAGTTAAAAAAAGAGACGAATGACAAGAAATACTATAAAAAATGACTTCCAATCAATGACACATAATATATTAAAAAACTAGACAGTCCGAGCTTTCAAAAACAAAGTTTGATTTTYGTGATTCTGTCCCCCATTTAACATCATGCTGTGACGTCATAATGAAACGGGGCAATTTCTAGTTTAAAATTCAAATACTCCAAGACACTGAACGATAATTATGACAAAAATTCTGCGAACAGCTGCATTCCGTATTAAAGTGTGTTCCGTGTCTTGGCGCCAATTCTAAGGCGTTATGTATAAAAATCCAGACTACATTCCAGAAAACAACCCAACCAAAATTATGTATTTATTTCTTTTTCGCTTAAAACCATGAATAAAACTTTAGTGAAAAATCTAATTTGATTAAATTTCCTTTGAAACGGAGCCCTTTTTGATGGCTGAATTAACCAAAAATCTGTTTTCTCAATTCGCACAGATGGCGCGAAGACAAAAACGAGTGCTCAAATTCACAGAAAAATCGACATAAAATCTCAAATCTTCCGTCTCCTTTAGAAATCTTGAATGAAACTTTGACTAAAAAATCGAATTTGATTTAATTTGCTTTAGTAAAATTGAGACCGTTTTTGATAACTAATTCATCCAATTGATCAGTGATCCGTTTTCTTATTCAGTACACAGATGCCAAGATGGCTACTTTCACCCAAAAAGCGTTGTAGATATTTAATTCTTGAATCTCCGCTCAAATCATGAATGAAACTTGCTTTTAAAATGTTGTTTAAATAGCACCCCTTAAAACTAAAATCCAAAAAGGGGCATAAATAATAAATACGAGGGGKCCTATAATGAGGCAAGCGGCCCATTTTGAAGAGCATTTATCCCTTTGAATTAGGGCTCATGTATAATTAATTCATGACTTGAGGTCCACATTAGGTCGTTAGTTCAATATGAATTCACTTAAACTACTCCTTCAAAGGTACCTTCAGTAATTATAGTTAGTTGGGAGTTGTCAATCTTCACTGAAATCCTGTTAAACCACAAAAGGGCAATTTGGACGATAATTGGCGTCTCTTGGCTTTGGAGGTATTTTTTGCCAATTAAATACCTTTATCATTTGATCTTGGTTTCATTTCTCTTCACACTGGTGTTTCCACCTTTACTTCGAGGTTATATGTATTACCCACACTGTGGGATAGTTTTCCTGATGGGCTTATGTCGAGGGGGCCATTTGCAGTGTCGTAATTCTCGTTATCTGATTCCTCCGTTCCGTTGTAATTTCCGTACGGAGATTCGCCGTTCTCGGCCATTTCAAGCGAGCCGGATAGCTGCTCTCTCTTGTAAAAAAAGTTAAAATTTGACACAATTACAGGGACGGGTAGAGCGATTGTCAGTACTCCAGAGATAGCACAAATAGACCCTACAACCTTACCCCAGAAGGTTACAGGGTACATATCCCCATAGCCCACGGTTGTCATGGTAACAACAGCCCACCAAAATGCGTCCGGTATGCTGCTAAACTTCGACTCATCRGAGCCTTCCTCGGCGTAGTAAACAGCACTAGCGAAGAGTACAACGCTTATGAATAAAAAGAAAATAAGCATCCCCAATTCTCTCGAGCTTGCTCGTAGTGTCTGCCCAAGAACTTGAAGTCCGCGAGAATGGCGCGACAACTTAAAAATACGGAAAACACGCACCAATCGAATTACCCTCAGTACAGCTAGAGACGTAATTCTACTGTTTGTCTCCGCCATAGGCATTGTTATATAGTAAGGTAATATGGCAACCAGGTCAATCACATTCAAAAACGATCTCACGAAGACAAGCTTCTGCGGYGAAGACAAAAATCGCACCAAATACTCAAACGTGAACCAGCTGATGCAAAGCACCTCGATCACTGTCCAAGCTTGACTTGTCTCCTTTGGTCTTTCCGTTGTGGTTACGGACGTGTTTCGGGCTTGAGTTTCGGTCGTTTTATTGCAGCCTGTGCTTTCAGGAGTCGAAATGCAGCGAAACATTGGTAACGTTTCGATGCAGAAAACGACAATCGAAAGGAGAATTATAAGTACCGAAAAAGTCGCCATTACGCGCGCTCCCATTGAACTGTCGGGATACTCGAAAAGTTCCCATATCTTACTCTGAATRTGATTTTTCGGCAGAATTCTCTCCTCTTGTTGGCAATAGCCTTCCTCTTCTTCTAATATTTGGACATATTCGCGGCCAATTTCAAAAAATCGTAATTCCTCTTTGAAGAGAATAAAGGGTACACCATTAGGCCTTACCAGCTTGCCATTCGATTGATAAAAAAACAAAATGGCCTCAAACGTCGAGCGATTTCGATCAAAGAAATATTCATTGGTTGAGCTGTCGAAGAAGTCATCTCGCTTTTCTTTGCATCCAAGAAGCGTTTCAGGGAAATGGTTCAAGGTCTTTTCATAAGTCTCAAAACGAAGTCCACTCACATTTATGATGATTCTCTTTCCTTTTTTTGCGTGGTTGACGAGCGACGTTTCGGGAATAAACGACTTCTCTTCATAATTTGAACTTTCTTCGTCCAGTGGATCGAGTCTGGAGATTTCTTTAAAATGGTTTCGCTCTGAATTCATCGCACAAGACGTACATCCAAACTTCTAAATACAGAATGCATTGGACGTGCTGAATATGATCAGTCAATAAGACCGATATAAACCAGGTTTTTAAATAAAATATGAAGCAAATGGATTAAGGAAATCCMAAAAACGTCGACCAACTTTGAACTCGAAGTCCAGCGCCGAAGGTTCAGACTTATCGTTGTTGGAGATGTTCAATTTTTAAGTAGTATTTTTGTGGAATTACAGGGAAAAATGAAAAGCTTTCGTGGCAGGTGCTTTGGCAAATGAATTCATCTTTCATTGTTGTCATTTAGGAATGACCGTATGGCAGGCATTGAAGCCGGGTGACTCATGGGCTTGGTAACAATGTTCATCCGGGACTTTCAACACGTGTAAGACATAAGCTAATCTTTTGCTGCCATTAATTAAAACTCCGAAAATGATTTTGATCAAAATAGCGAAAAGCTCTCACTTAAACATCGAAAATTGAGTTCAAGGCATGAAAAAWTGRAACATTCCTATTTGTGCCGAGCAATGTTATGTACGAGGACYCCTTRAACCCGCGGGATTTTGATCTAATTTTTTCTAGCTGTATGCTAAAAAKAAGATGAAGATTAAACGATTTTTTTCGCCGTGTGCATAATACTTAAACGAGACTTATAACCCGATTCGCTGCTGTTTTTAGAGGCTAATTGTAACAAAAAAGTCCAAACATATGGTATTATTGAACGTTCAAATCGACTAATTTCGAAGATAAATCTTTAGTTACACAAAAACAACAAATTGTATGAATGATCAATCCAAAAATAACTTTTCCGGTTTTATATAATTCCTTTTAGAAATCGTCATCGTATTCTGTTCGGTATAATTCATTTTTGTTTCAGAATCCCGAGGCGAGGGCTGACAGATATTATTTAACCGCCAAGAGAAATTAAAACAGTGGTTGTAGAAAAAAACATTGAAATGGTCTCGTTTGAATTCAAATAACTCACATCACGTCTCGTGTACAAATAGTTTGTTTGGTCAATGGCAGTATGATTGGCAGATTTAGAAGTGTTTGGAGCGGGGAAAAAAAGCTCAAATAACTGCGTCAATAGCCTTAGAAATGCGGGACGAACTTGATCGCTTGAATRCGAAAAAAATACAAAATCCAATCACATATGCCATGTTCTTTTTAATGCAAAATGCGATGTAAATATAAATACACATCATTTTTAATACAATAATCGCAAAGTGCTAATGAAAAAACTACATGAATAAAATATTTTTATATGGAATAGGGTTTMTTGTTAGAATTATAAAGTGGAAAGCTTGTACAATATGGTTAAGTATAGTTGTCGGAAAATGATGACTTCATTTATTTGACACGGTATGATGACAATCTTTTTTTTACCTTTTTTTTCGGTTTTCATTAACTAAGAAGATGATCTATTACTGAATAGAACGGCACAGAAAAAAGCTTTTCAATTTCTTTAGCTAAAAATGATGTTAATTTTTTTTGTCGTATTTTCTGTAATCATTTAAGAGCAAAGTGAGTCAATTTATGGAAATAACATATGAAAAATTAATATATATGTTTCGAAATCGAAAAGAATATAGACTTATAATATGAAATAATGAATCTTTAGWATCTAATCAATAATGAAATCAGTAATCGACGAGTCACATCAATGAATATCAGCCTAATAAAAGCTCACTATGAAGCCAGGAATGAATGATTAAATGAATGRATGGATGAATAAATGAATGGGAATGTATCATTATAAGCGTATGAATGAAAAATGGATGAACTTATTGTGAAATTATTTTATACGTGAAATATTTTATAAGAAATCGTACAAAGCKTGGCATTTAGGGGCGTAACGAGAATTTATTTGTTTTTCTCTTTTGAGGTTAAAAGGGAGTGGGAGGGGGAGATTAGGGGAGGGAACACACACACACATACAAAAAATGCTAAAAAATCGTTTATTTCAATCTGTTCTTCCATACATTTATTGCATTTGCTAAAACCTTTGGGAAGGTACATTCCTCCCTGCCTCCTCCCTACTCTGTATTACCACAAATTAAACACTTTAACAAAGTGCTTTTGTGTTTCATATACAATTTCATTCGCAAGCTGTTTCTGTATGGACCTGCCTCAGCTGCTTTTGACCGCGTATTATACTGGGCGGACCCAGAAATTTGTCGGGGGAGGGTTGGAAGGGAATGTCCAAAGTGCTGACCTATGACAAGATCTAATATGAAAGTAAAAATGTAGATTCAGTGCAACCCATTCATTTATACAAATACGTACACTACTGTAGTTAAAGCTATTGCCATTCATTATAACTCGTGGTAACAAATACAATATTGTTTAAGAGTGGCCGTTATATTTTCGGTGTTATGAAGGTAGCGAGTAGGAGGCAGCGAAGGGCCTGCCCACCAGCCCCTGCTGATGATAACTGCAGCTTGCATGATAAAAAAACCGCATGCGCCAGTGGTCAGTGATGAGGACCAGCCTTCCCCCATATCCAATTCCTAGACGACCACGAAAAATATTTCCGCTGGCCAAATTAAGCCACAACTTTATTTTTACATAGTCTTTTGGGTGATTAATTAAAGTTAAGAGTCGTCTTATTTCGTTGTCAATAATATTGTTATTGTTCTCATTATTCGTGGTATTTTTTGTATATTTGATAAAATGAAATCAATAGTATGTGGTGTACTTATCCAGTCTTTTCTCAATGATTGTCTCGCCTAATGACGTCATGTGTGGTTTGATGAATGCAACAAGATGACGGATGTCTGGAAAAAACACCGAACACGAAGTTTATTTGAAAAATTAATGCTATCAAATGTCGAGAAACCTTTAGAAAGCATTAAATAAGATGCCTACTTACTAGCATATGCTAATGACCCTTCTCTCACGGAAACAGTGGAAATAACTAATTCTTGTCACCCTGAGACAACAGTGAATACGAACAAAAAACAGCATGGTACGGCAATTTGTGCTTTCGTCAATAGTCCCACCGTGGTGTATCTCGTCAACTATTCTTCAATTGAAGATCATAGCTTCACATGCCCGTAAAATGTTCCAGAACCTTTTAAACCACGCACAGTTATACTTCAAATGACAAGTGCCTGACGATTTATTTGGGCTAAAACAATGTTATCCTTCAAAAATAGAATACTGTATTGCTCATAAACTTGACTTGCCCATAAAATGTTTCAGAAGCTTTTTGGCCACGCACAGTTACTTAAAACATCAAGTGTCTGACGATTTATTTAGGCTAAAACAAAGTTAAAATAGTSTATTGCTATACATTCACACGCCTCTTAATTTGTCCATGATACTTTGCGCTAAAACAACAAATTGCAATGACATCATTGCGAAAGAAGTGGAATTAATGTTTTCTACTCCCCYCTAAAAAAACTAGAAACGTCGCTGAAATGGCGGATTTGACGATCTTTTAGGTTAACAAGGTTTCGTTCATAAAGACCCTTGTTGCTCTACAGACCTTCATCACAGATGCTCCTATTCTCACAGAAATGACAAAAAACCCATCTTATCAACAATTGCAATTAAAACCACCCCACAGGCACCCCAGCCGGATCCYAATGAAGAGGATCAATGTGAATTTGAAATAATTTTAGAGATTTTTCATTGATAAAGACGTATTTTTGGTCGGGCTAAGTTTCGAGAGTCAGTCTTGTTTAGTCATCGCCGCCATATTTGAATAGCTTGATGACATCATCACATCGGAATTTGCCATTTTCGTCTGTGATATTTTCGTTGAGAAAGATCTCGTCAACCTGAAAATAGCAATGATATGAAAATTATAATAACATTGTTATTATTGCTATTTATCGTGATATTTATCGCGAGTATAACGTCATAAATATTTTTACGAAATCAATCCTAGTTAATACAGTAAGGAATCGTCCAAAAGAATCATCTTTATATACCCATAAAAATGTTTAATCTTTATATTATTATTACATATTCTGAATATGTGGTTACCAGTATATCCATTTTTATATGTAAAACGAATATTTTTCGTACGTTTATCGTCGGGTAGAAAGCAATTTTTTCGGCRTGATCCGATGGCTCTGCTAGCATCATCATTAGCGGGAGCTTATTTGTCTTACAGAAGTACTGCTCCCTGTTAAGGTCATACATATTGAAGTGTTGGCGTCCAGGAAAAGCGTAATTCCTCCGGTCCTCCCTCAAAATTAACTATTACAGTACCGCAGAATAYCCATTCGGCAGACCCCATTGATGACAACGAGCTATAATTGGGCTTTATACTAACCTGCTGTGGAGTAAGTCTCGTCCCCATGGTAGTCAACAAATCCCGGAATTCGTCCAGATCAATAAAGCCGTCCCCCTTCTCATCGAAACACGAGAAAGCATTACGAATCAATTCTTCATTGTCAACGCACTCCATTTTATTACCAAACATTTCCAGGAAATGGGCCAAGTCGGAAGGACCTGTAATCTCACTCAGCATGCTGCGGATTTCAGAGTCAGTGGGGTTTTGACCGAGTGAGACTAGACAGTCCTTCAAGTCTTTGCTGCTAATGTGACCATCGCGATCCTGATCGATTAGATTGAAAACCTGTTGCGATAACGCTGGCTTTTAGTATTGCATGCAGTGTACAGGCCATGGTATGAGGCGCTTTTAAAAAATACTGCAGGCGCGCGCAAGAAAACGCGAGGTATTTTTAAGAAACCAGTGTAGCTTTATTTTGAACTCTGCCATAATATATCTCGCTTTCATGCGAGCATGGGCAAGTTAATACCTACCGCTGCAATAAGGGGAATTGAACTGCAGAAACAATAACATGCAAACGCACAATTTACGAATGAATAAAAATGTTGGGCATCCCCTGGATCCCGTCATAGTGTGTGTTACACACAAAATGCTGGTGATGATGGCGATGATGATGATGATGATGATGATGGTGATGATGATGATGATGATGGTAATGATGATGATGATGATGATGATGATATTGATGATGATGATGATGATAATGATGATGATGATGATGATAATGATATTTATGATGATGATGATGATAATGATGATGATGATGATGATGGTAATGATGATGATAATGGTGATGATAATGATGATGATGATGA